ACTCTCTGAAAAATTAAGGTGTTCAATTCGGTCCTAACCTCCATCAGTTCCGCCCCAGCCTCTATCGCCTGCGATCGCTTATGCCGAGTCTCCAACACACGTAGACGACTCAGCAGAAGCGAGATCCGTGATGACAATTCCCTTTTCGCGCACCATGCTTAATAAAGATGCCTCTCATGACACATTTATGAGATTCCCCCCGCTTTAGTTTTTAACAAATTTCCAAACCCCTGAAGTGTGGTGGGCCAAGTGCAGGAAACCATAATGGTAAACATGAGTGAATGGTCTGGTCACCTCTGAGGAACACCTGGTCAGGAGCTGGAGAAGACTCTGTAATGTAATGTTTCCAGGGGACTGAGGTGGTCTAGAGTTATGTCTAGAGCAGTGGTTCTCAACCTGTGTAACCTCAAGACCCACACTTGTCCGCAGTCATTAAGTCGCAAACCAGGTTGCACTGCAATGGAACGCACGGCAGTGTGGGCTGCTGTGCTGTGATGGAGCTCCATACATATGTGCATTGCTGTTACATCTCCCATGCGCACCTGTAGAGGTGTCAGGAGCCAGAATGTGATGTCACTGCGGTCCAGGCACCTCTACAGGACATGTGAGGAAGCTATAAGCAATGCACATATGGATGGATCTCACTCCCCAGCCCACCCCATCCCACACTTGGCACCGGGCAGCATATTTTGAATGGCAGCTTGGTGTGAGAATGGACGGTGCTGCGCTAGGTGAAGGCTGATGAGCCTCTCACCTAGAAAAGTGGAAGGCATGCGGCGACCCACTAAACATGGGGTCGTGACCCACTTTTGGGTCACGACCCACCAGTTGAGAACCAAGGGTCTAGACTCTAGAGGACCAAGTCCTGGCCTGATCAGCTGTGGTCCCTTTTATGTATGGCAAGCTTCGATTTCTAGTTTGTAGGACCCGTGTACCTTTTAATCTTATAGTGGATTGTTGAGGTAAATAAATTGTTCCAATTCCATTCCGTTATAACAACCTGACCAGGTATTTGCTTCTGTCATGAAGCCGATTTTAAGACAGTATTGTCACTGCGTCTCCATTTCAGTTTCACTTTCAGAAGCTCTTTATAGAATTTCTCAACTGTTCTGATAAATCTCAATTGATATGTATTTGTGTATACATCTTTCCAGCTTCCTATTTAAATGAGTTGGTACGCAAGTATGAGCGAAGGGAAATCCAGTCTGATTTGTTCCACTTGAAATGTACAGTCCAAACAAACAAAAAAAAAGAGAAGCGTGGTTTAATTATAGCTGATGAGTCTGTTCTTATATTCATCTTCCTCTTTTAATTATTTACCGCTTAACTTTTCCACTCTCTATATTTATACTGTTTTACACTTTAGTATGTGGGAGCGTAATGTCAGAAAGCTGATACCGGGGTGTGCGTGTATCATTTATTTATATTTTGTGTGATCTACATACCGTATATAGTAAGGCACTGGCTGGCAGGAGTGTGGACGCTGTATATTATTATTATTATACAGGATTTATATAGCGCCAACAGTTTGCGCAGCGCTTTACAATATAAGGAGGACATTACAATCACAATACAATTCAAGACAAGATGGTAAGGAGGGCCCTGCCCCTGAGGGCTTACAATCTCAAAGGGAAGGGCCAGTGATACATGAGGAGGTAGCTGTGTGGGGATGAATTGTTTGGGAACGTGATGGTTCAGTGGTTAGGTTGAGGGGTGCTAGGCTTCCCTGAAGAGATGAGTCTTATGTGCGTTTTTTGGGGGGGGGGGGGGGGGGGGCGTGGCGGGCCATTGAAGTGAATGGCATCGTAGCCACGCCCTCGGGCCGCACGGGATCGCAGCGCACATTATGCCTGCAGTCCGGTGCGATCAAAATAGTGCTTGCAGCATTTTGGTTGGACGCAACCATATAATAATAATCGCATTGCGGCTGGATGAGAGGCAGTGCACAGGGAACAGAAAATCGCTCTTAAATATTATTGTATGCATCACAAGCTCCATATATAGCGGGGAACAGAAAATCCTCCCATTGACCAGGTAACCTCCTGCTTCAGTCTGGTAGGCTGTCAAATGAGGGATCCTCAAGGCAGGAGCATGGGAAGACCAAGTTCACGGCCTCCTCAGCACACCTTTGCCATTCAGGCACGTCATGGAAATGGGTGGCCCAAATTTGTGATTGACAGCCAGTTCGAGGGAGCTGTCAATTACAAGCTGTAAAGAATGGGTTTGCATGCCAGGCTGGGCATGTGCGCCAGGGATTGTCAATCCCAGTGCTAACCTCTCACCACTATATCCTGTCTGTCTGTCCCTGCATGATATTTCTATGGTGTGATTCCTAATGGTGTAACAAACGGGGCCCTCCTTACATTGTCTTGAAATGTATTGTAACTGTAATGCCTTCCTTATATTGTAAAGCGATGCACAAACTGTTGGCGCTATATAAATCCTGTGTAATAATAATAATAATGGTGACAATGGTGGACCATGGCAGCAACATTTTGCAACGACTACTAGCATTCTTCATCAGAAGCCTTGTGTTACAGGGTGACAACAGAGGAACACACTTCGGAGACAGAGACACGGTGTTGTCACCCTGTAACTCTAAGTGAACAACCCCTAATGGCAGGATCACCAGCTATTATAATAATGAAATTTAAAAACATTGAAAATGGCTTTTTCATTTTAATGGATACAACTACATTATAATAACATGGTAACGCTGAGATGACATTTTAGTAATTGGGTTTATACACTCTTAAAGGGTTATTAAACCCTCATTTGTTTTTTTGCATATATATATATAAGGCTAACAAGCAGTAGATATTAGGGATGCACAGATACTTTTCGAGTACCAGTGCAGATACTTGGCATTTTCATGAGAACTACCAGGGTTGCAGCGGTTGCAGCTGGGACCTGGCTCTGGTGCTCCACCTCTGTCCTGAAATCATTAGTCTGTATTGTTTTAGAAAAACTGTCACATGACAATAAACAAAAATGTATCAGTACTCGTACTTGTAAGTACTCGGCAAGTACCAGTACTCATACTCGCAAAACTGGTATCTGTGCATCCCTTTATTTATATTTATAAACACAAAATCGTACATTAAAGCAGAGATGTACAAATCCCGGGAGCTCCGTGTGCGCCTTACACATGACAGCGGCCTCCTAATTTTTGAATTGTTCTCTAGTCTAGTCTTGGAGCTCAAAAGTATCGGTACATGTACTCGTACTTGTACCGAGTACTGTACTTGGTATCTGTACAAAACGATTTAAAAAAAAAAACATTTTCAAAGGGTTAATACTCACCTGTGTCTTCGCCGCGCACTCCCGTCCGAACATCTGAAAATTTATCGGGCGGCCGCAAAGGATCTTGGGGCGTACGCATGCGCAGTACAGATTTTCGGCCGGGAGACGAGGAGACATCAGAGAAGAGGAGGACAGAGGAGTCAGCGCTGGAGAGAAGACTGAAAACGACAGGAAAGAAGAAGAACGGATCAAGAGGCATCATTTAAGCTAAGTCCTTACATTAGCACTGTGGGGGGCGGGACTTCCCTGTCACGGCAGAGAGCCGTGACAGGATCGAGAGGTGAGCGAACGCTGGTATGTGTTGGCTCACCTCCCGATCTACTGAGCCAACCTGTGACAGTCTCATTGTCACAGGTCGGCTAGAACTATGAGGTGAGTGAAAAGCACTCACCTCATAGTTCTCCTTTTAATGTCATTTTAAGTCTTAGAATGAATCTAAACATTTACAGGTGAACCCGGAAGTCACAAACATTCTAGCTGCTCTGATATTTGGTACAAGAGATTTTTTTTAATGTTTCTTCTGCCAAAAATCTCCTTTTTCCCTTTTACTAACCATTGCACTTCCTCATAACACGGCCTGCAGCATGTTGTGAAGTTATGCTGTGGAAACGTAGAGCCTCGTGTTGGGATGTTGCGTTGACATTACGTATGGGCAGGAGTCGTATCATCACTGGCTGCACCACAGCTAGAGAAGGAAGACTCCGGCAGTGGGACACACTTCACCAACATTACACTGGCTGTTGACAGTTGCACATTATTGCAAGTGTTGCTTGTGCTCCTTGTGCTACAGGTCCACTTTGACATATGGGCATTAGCGTTTCCTGGCTATAAAACCCTCCTCAGTGCCCCTCTCTGATTATAGTTTCACTTTGTTACTGGGGCCTAGTTTTTCCCGCCTTGCTGATGGGTTGCTCCACTATCCAGTAAGACTGCCTGAGTGGCCATTACAGACAAGGGGAATAGCTGTTGGTAAAGCGTAGCCAGGAAATCCGGAAAAGTCAGCATCCTGTAACCAGTAAGTAAAACTAAATTGGAGAGGAGCGCAAAAGCTTTTCTGATTAATAAAGGCAGCTGTAGACATCTTTTATGTGTGCTTTTAGGCAGGACTTTTACTTTAAAAGTATCAAATGTAGTACAGCTTCAATGGTCCGCCACGCCCCCTCCTGCCCCACAAAAAAGTGAGCCGGCCGCAATGCGAGGCAGTGCGTTCTGGCTAGAATTGGGCCGGAACGTACTGCATATGGTTCATCTAAGGGCAGATGAATCCATCTCCTTTTACTTCCTGGAACTCTGGGTTAGCCTCCTGGAACATGTGACCGCACACGTCATCTGAGGGGGGGGGTGGCTTTCCCTGAGTCCTCTGAGATTGTGCAGTTTACGGATGAGATTTCCCAGGAAGGCACTGGTGATGTAGACTTCCCAGGATGCATCTGTGAGACCAGGGCTACATGGCCAGTGCCTCACCAGGAAGTGGAAGAACAGTAATTGTATGTAAAGCAAATCTTGTTCGTGTAACTAATGATTGGAAGATGATTTCATACCAGCATGCAGAGCGCAGACTGATGCGATTTTTAGTGAAAGGGGGTAAAATTCTACTTTTTAAGTTATAATTTGAATTATTTTGGTTCAGTTTGGATTCTTTGTTATTTCTATCGGAATATGTGCATTGATGCAAATGTTTTGTTTGTCTTTTCTAGGAACCTTTTCAAAGCCGGGCCCAAAAAGCAGATTGTCCCAAAAGCAGTAAGTAAAATGACAGGTCTAGGATTGAAGAAGCGAAGCATTCGTTGCAACCATCCGCCAATCACCATCTCACCAAGGCCTTGAGTTCTAGCCCCAGGTCAAACACTAAGCCCTCGTTCACACCTGAACGTTTTGTAGCACGTTCTACGCTCGACAAACGCTCAAAAATCTAAATCCCATTGTATTCAATTGTCTCGTTCCCACCTTGGCGTATTTCCGCCCGTCCCTAACGCGCTACAAAACGGCCCACGCCTGAAAAGGTACAGGTACTACTTTGGGCCGTTTTTGTTGCGCGTTTCCATTGGGATACAGCCAAGTAGCCTTCGGAAACGCGCGACGGTCGCGCATATGCAATACGCGTAGGTGTGAACGAGACCTTAGGCCTTGTTCACACCAAATGCAGAGCAGATCCGGTCAGGTTTCTGCACACGCACGCTAGTCTTTTAGATGCGTTTTTGACGCGTTTTTGGCTAAAATTAAAAAATATATTTTTTTAACATTTTAAAATTGGCTTTCAGTGCGTTCCAGGCATTTGCATGCGTTTTTGATGCGTTTGCAGATCCAGGGCCTGCTGCAGTTTTTTCACCTGCTCTGGAACTGCATGCTGCGATGTGAACTGGAGCAAAAAATGCCATTGGAATACATTGGATGCAGTTTTGATCCGGTCTGCAACTGATCTGCTCTGCACCTGCTCTGCGCTTGGTGTGAACAAGGCCTTAAAGTGGAAGTACACCCTCCCATCTTTTACGGCCAAGGAAGGCGCCATCTTGGCCTCTGTTTGGATTGCAGTTGCCATGGTGCTGCACATGTGGTGACACCAGCCACTTGAGGGCTTGAAAGTTTGGTTGAGAGCTGAAATAGGGAAAAGGCATCCTTGACTCGTATTACCAGAGTCATGCATTGAAAGTAACTGTTTTGGGAGACGGTTAGATTGGAGGGTCTAGTTCTGCTTTAAAAGGTCATTGAAATAGGGAAGTTGTGGCCAAAAAAGGGCAGGCAGAGGGCAAAGGACTAGTCATCTGTATTGCCTGTGGTCTCCACGCAATTGATTCCCTACCCCCTCCATCACTGATTTTTTCTTGCTTTGTTCTACACTGTGTCTCTGTGTGGGGTCGGCCATCTTGGTAAGGGCAGGGCTTTGTTTCCTCAAGACAGAACCTTTAGCAAGGATAGTGAGCAGCACAGTGATGACATCACCAGATCTCTCTCCAAATCTCCTGAGACTAGCAGTCAGAGGCAGCAGTGCCTTAGATCTCTAGGAGGCCACCGGGGTGCCTAGGCACCCTCACATTACAAGAAGTGCCCTGCTATTGTTCAATTCCAGACAAAAGGTGCATATTTCAGGGTAACGCTTAGGCACACTTAGCATCTCTAGATGTTCTCTACAACATAGCAAATCTTCACTTTTGAGTTCAGTTCCACTTTACTAGAATACTTTCGTTTACTACAAATTTAGTTTTTTTTCCAGTAGTTGAACTTGTTTGCTGGCCCATTTATTTCAGTCAGCACCTCATTTCCTGTTCTTCTGGGACTTTTTTTTTTTTTCATACATGTGTTTATGTGTATTTGCAATAAGAAACTCCTGGCTGTTGGATTTAGCTGCGGTTCCTAAGTCCGCTTTTTTGCTGTGTGAGCTGCATGCCTACTCTCCGCTATCCAGTGTGGGAAGCCGATGATGTGTGGTTTGGGATCTTGCTCCCATATTTCACAGAGCCTCCATTGTGTGTGACTGTGTACCTCTGCACCCACATGATTAGCATAAATTCCACCTTGTCTTATGACGAGTGGGCGGGAGCAGCTATGACATCACGGACTCGCAGATCCGACGGCTCCGTGGAAAGCAGTTTAGTTCGTACCTGTCATATCACTGTTCTGCTTTCCATAGCCCATGTCAGGGACTGGGGAAGGGCTCGGTCATGGAAAATGGATAGCCTCCTACTTCCTTGCTGAAACACATACAGGGTTTCTATATGTGATATAGATGATCATAAATGTTTAAAGAACAGAAAGCCGGCTCCATGCTTCTTTGTCACTTGGTGATGAGGGAGCATGGAGCCGGCTTCCTGGCTTATCAGGAAGCCGGGTGGCGAGTCTTTTAAGGCCACCCGGCTTCCTTAATGGGACTTCCGGTGTCGGTATTCGTTATCGATGTGTACCGGAAAAAAAAACATTTCGGTACCCGTACTAGATACTAGGGATGCACCGATACCACTTTTTTACGACTTTTGATCAAGTACTCGTCGATACCAATTACCGATGCTTTTTCTTAAAGGGACAGGTCACATTTTTTTCTAAAGCAATACAAACTAATGATTTAAGGTCAGTTTCTTAATATTATGATTCATGAGATGACAAGGGAGCATGACGCCGCCTTTCCGGCCAATCAGAATGCCTGTACTCACCCAAATACTCGGTATCGGCACCGATACCAGTATCGGTATCAGTGCATCCCTACTAGATACTGAAAAAACGGTATCTGTGCATCCCTAGCTCTAAGTGTTCTTTACTCTGTGCATTATCCATATCCACACTCTATCAATATACACACCTTTGTGGGCTGGAATTCCACTTTAAAAATAAATAATTTCATCCATCTAGTCTAGGAACCTGCAGATAATTTTAGAAGAAATAAAAAGAAGTCTTATTGCTACCTGTTGGAGAGATTCCCTCCAATCACTGGGACAGGCAGCCAGAGGAAGTGCTCCCAGCATGGACTCAGACAGCCAGATAGTCTGACTGAGGTCCTCGCATTTCCTCATTCAGTACAGAACGAAATACACATTTTAGCAGCAGTTGTACATTGACATCACGGCTTCCTTAATGGGGCACAGGCAGGTAGCTGACTGTACTGTGTATTTGGAAATGTTGCCCTTTGTTACGTTGCCTGATAATTTTCTTCTGCTTAAGTGTTCCTCCCAATTGTCCTTCATTCGGAAGGGCTGTCCCTCTTTCCGAAGGGCTGTCCCTCTTTCCGAAGGAGCTGTCCCTCTTTCCGAAGGAGCTGTCCCTCGTTTGGGAAGGAGCTGTCCCTCGTTTGGGAAGGAGCTGTCCCTCGTTTGGGAAGGAGCTGTCCCTCGTTTGGGAAGGAGCTGTCCCTCGTTTGGGAAGGAGCTGTCCCGCGTTTGGGAAGGGCTGTCCCTCCTTTGCACATACATGTGAAAATGCCACTTGTGGCGTGCCACACACATTACATATCGCCATTAAAAATTGGAGGAAGAGCAATAATTCTAGGGCATCGCTCAATGTTAATTCTTAATTGATGAGTGGTAAAGACTTTTAAAACAAAGGAAAGAAAGGATGAAATAATATTTGGTCGTAAAGCAAAGAGCCAAGAACGTGTGGACAGAGCATTGTGGCGTAAATATGAAAATGGTGCTCTGACCCATCGTAGATGGATGAGTGCCCTAGAACACGTTGCCTATGTCCAAGGTATTTTCTCTCTATCTCGTACAACAGATAAAAAGGTGTGACGCTTCGTTAGAAATGTGAATCTTTGGGTCCCTGATATTCTGAAGTCTTGAGGAGGGAGTGAGTGTTGTCATGTACTGGATGGGATGTGGGTCACTATAACGGGGCACTAACGTGTCTTCTCTGGTTTCAGGTAGAAAGAGACTTTGAACGAGAATATGGAAAGCTCCAACAGTAAGTCACCTTTCCATTACTGTCATTGGGCTCAATTCACAAAGATAACAGACCAGGATAAGGATCCTTATTCTCAAAAGAAGCTGCAGCTAGCAAGCAGTAGATCTATCCAAAAAGTTTTCTTTTTTATGAAACGCTTTAACAGAGGTTAATACTCACCTGTGTCTTCCCCGCATGCTCCCGTCCGAAAATGTGAAGCTCCTCTGGAGGCCGCAAAGCACTTTGGGGCGGACGCATGTGCAGTTCACATTTTCGGCCGGGACGCGAGGAGAGACACAAGGTAAGTCTATGGACGCGTGCACCCGCATGCAGACACCGTGGGACAGGAAGTGCCAGCAAGCTCAGAGGAGTCAGCGCTGGATCGGAGACCGTAGATCGTATTAAGAAACATCATTTAAGGTAAGTGCTAACATTAACATTGGGGGAGGGGAAAAAAATTGACTTTAATGTCACTTTAAGTCTTAGAAGTTGTATGCCACTATAGGTATGTTTGTAATTTCTGTAATATTTACACATTCATTCAGTTGGATACGAAAGCTATTAGGGGTGCAACGATACAGGTTTTTCAGTATCGAGTACGAGTACCGATACTTTGCTTTCGGTACTGGTTGATACAGAATACCGATACTGGTGCTTCCAATGGCATGGAACCGGCTTCCCGGGCAATCTGATTGCCCGAGAAGCTGGCTCCATGCTGTCTGGCCGGCTTGATTGTGCTTGCTCGAGAAACCAGCTTCCGGTATGATCAGGAAGCTGGGCAGCGAGTAATGGGCAGCCTCCCAGCTTCCTGATTGGCTTTCCGGGCAATCGGCATGAAGCCGGCTTCACGGGCCAATCAGGGAGGCGGGCCAATACTCACCGCCCAGCTTCCTGATCGCACGGGAAGCCGGCTCCATGTTCCCCTACGGCACTGCAGGTCAGAGGAAATCTTCCTCTGACCGGAAGTTCAGGTATTGGGGGAAGGTATCAGAGCATTTGGGCAAGTAGGAATACTCACCCAAATACTCGGTATCGGCACCGATACTAGTATCGGTGCATCTCTAAAAGCTATCTCTATACTTGGGTGGTGCGATAGGAGAACTGTGACTCTCATACGTTGAAGCCTCACTGTCATTTGTCCGCTCCTCTCTCCCCTTTTTCCCATTCACAAAACACTTTGAAGGGAATTTATCAAAATCTGGAGCAGCTGTGCATGGCAACCAATCAGCTACAGCCACACTCCCTGTGCTTGAGGCCTCCATTAATGTGTAAATATTAGAGAAAGGACACACATGGTGGTATACAGCACTTTATGTCTAATTGTAGTCAGAGCCCCACTGATACGTACCTGAACATTGAGATGATGAACCTGCCTAACTTGACCTGAGTTGTGCCGTGGTCACTATGGTCAGTATGCAAATAAGGGGGCATACTCAGAGTAAAATGTTATCAAAAGGGGTAAGGGCGGGTGGGGTGTCACGGACGTACCGACAGGTGAGTAGGGGAGGGGAGGGATTAAATGTGTGGGGCTCCTCCCACAAATAAGGCTAACAAGTTAAGTAAAACTTACACTGCAGATTTTTTTTTAAATGCCCGGAGTTCTGCTTTAAATGCATGTGAAACGGCACAGCAATGCATTCTGAGATCTCTGCCATTATAGTTGGTTGGCACCATTCAGATCTCATTGCATCCGGTGTTTTTATGGTTTACATTTATGTGTTTGAAAATGCGTGAGCTTTTTGCATCTGTTTTTTACTTGTGTTTTTTACACCTTTTTCAAGCCAATTTTATGTCTTTATTTAAAACAAGTGGATTGTAATTTTCCTTCCAATTCCATTACTCTTTATGGTAGTTTTTTTTTTTTTTTAAATACTGCTTGCATGACTATTTAATGAGCCAGTGCAGAAAAAACCCCCAATATGATTAGTGCCATTAAATTTACTTTACCAGATCTCATCATTCTTATTGTGTGAAATTTCTCGCATGCATTAAATTACACCCACAATGCAGAGCCGTCAAAGATGAATGGAAATAATTGTTTAAAAAAATGCATGTATTATAGTAACCTCAGTCTCTGCAAAGTTCACGAAAAAGGCACAAAATACACATAAAGACAGGTCAATCGTCAAACATGACAGTGTGAACCGTCCTCTGGCTTTGTTTCTGGCCTGGTTCAGTAATATTGGGAGTTGATGACGGGTGTCAGGTTTTCTGAATGTGTTATATACTATTACTGCTTGCATGCGGTCTCCCCACAATCTTTCACACATGACACTGTAACATCCCATTCTGTATTTTGCAGGCTGGAAGATCAGACCAAAAAGCTGCAGAAAGACATGAAGAAAAGCATAGAGGCTGATTTAGGTATCATTTATCGTTCCTGCTCCTTGTGTGTCGTGCTCTCGTCTCCCTATCATTGTATGGACTGGTGTCAGTGGGCTCTGATGGGGGAATGCAGCGCGCTTTCACATCAGTTTCAGCCTAGACCTCTGAGACCATTTAGAATTCATTGCAGGCGCATTTCACTTGTAGGCCACCTCCTCCTGACCTTTTACATTCCCATAGACCTGTATGGGGTGAGAAGCCGTTCTGAAGCAAACAAAAGCCCATCGACCCTAGCCCTAAAACACACTATTACTCTCTTCCTTTGTCTGTGTATCTCTCTTTGTGTCTTTATTTGTCTGTCTCTGTCTGTCTCTCTCTCTCTCTGTCTGTCTCTCCTTCCTCTTCATCTCTGTGTCTTTTCTTGCTCTCTTGGTTTCTCACTCGTGCTCTTTTTCTCCCTCACTCTTTCTCTCTGGCTCTCTTTTCTCTCTGGCTCTCTTTTCTCTCTGGCTCTCTTTTCTCTCTGGCTCTCTTTTCTCTCTGGCTCTCTTTTCTCTCTGGCTCTCTTTTCTCTCTGGCTCTCTTTTCTCTCTGGCTCTCTTTTCTCTCTGGCTCTCTTTTCTCTCTGGCTCTCTTTTCTCTCTGGCTCTCTTTTCTCTCTGGCTCT